GATTTTGGGCCAATCACCAGGAGATGGTGAGTTCTAGTCCTGCCTTAGCCATGAACACCAGCTGTGTGGGGGACTTCAGGCCAGTCCCACTCTCCTTTCAAGTCACCTAACAGGGTTATTTTTGTCGGGAAAAATTCAAAGAGGAAGGAACGTTCACCACCTTGGAGTTATATATGTCAAGAATAAAGGCCGGATATAAATCTAAGAAATAAAAAACAGAAGAGCCTTCAAAAGTTGCAGCATTTGGACACATGTGCTGCTTCTGAGGGTTAGAGGTTTAAATAACATGAATTCAAGCTCACTGCTCTTCTAATTTTACCAGCCTGCCTGCCCGCCCGCTCTTATCGTCAGTTGAATGTACACTTGATTGTAGTCAAGGAACTTGTATGTCCACAAAGAAAAGAAAGGCTTGTGTAGGGAGTAGTCCTGCATTCTTGGTCCAAATTTCCTCCTTCGAAACTTCCCTTTGCGTGCATCAGATCTTTTCTTTGCGCACTTTTAAAAACTCAAAATACCCAGTATATATTTTTTTTAAGCTGTTTTATTTTGAGGAGGGGAGGAAGGGATCAATCGCTATTTTCCATTGCAATTTTCCTGGCTGGGATGTATTTCATGGAATAGAATGGAACAGAATTCTTTTATTGGCCAAGCGTGATTGGACACACAAGGAATTTGTCTTGGTGCAAATGCTCTCAGTGTACATAAAAGAGAAGATACATTCATCAAGAGTCAAGAATCATCAGGTACAAACACTTAATGATAGTCATAGGGTAATCAAATCATACTAGGAAACACTCAATATAAATCATAAGGATACGAGCGACAAAGTTACAGTCATACAGTCACAAGTGGGAGGGGATGGGCCATAAGGAGTGAGGAGATTAATAGTAATAGTAGTGCAGACTTTGTAAATAGTTGGACAGTGCTGAGGGAATTATTTGTTTAGCAGAGGGATGGCGTTTGGGGGGAAAAACTGTCCTTGTGTCTAGTTGTTCTGGTATGCAGGGCTCTTATGCATGACCCTCTTGAAGTTTTAGAAAAGGGGAGAGAGGGGGGAGGAGGGAGAAAAAGAAAGAAAGAAAGAAAGAAAGAAAGAAAGAAAGAAAGAAAGAAA